GGTGATTTCCAATTCGGTAATGAACGAACTGCACAGCTTACATCATCTTTATCAATTATAACTGGTTCCATAGGTGTTATAGACTCACATGAGCGTCTGACATCCCGCAACCAATCACCTTCTATATGAGTGACAGGCACCGACCAGATGTTCCGCCAAAAAGTATGTGTGACATTTTCATCTGGCAAATGCCCATGACTCACACATGGATCCGGTTCCTCCCATTTCCGGTACACCCACTTCTCATTTCTTTGGAACATCCGATTCTGATTATACCGATCTATTCGTTTTTTGTACCGTCTTATCCTATTTGCCCATGCATAAATTTTCTGCTTTAGAAAGTCTATGCGCTCTGTGACACATGACATGTACTGTTGAGGACCAATGGTAGTCCCCAAGAATGCCTGTTTCACAAAGCGCATCACTCTCGGCCGCGTATTCCCTGATCGAAAACTAATTAGCTTACCAATAAGCACCCTGGTCTCAGCAATACGACGTTCAATTCTACACTGCCAAGCTGGTACAGTTGATTTAGGTCGAGTAGTAGTGACATTTTCAACTATATTAACACCAGCTACTCGACAAACTGCAACAGCCGCACAATACAGAATAGAATGTGTATCACCAAGATCTTCGCTATTGTCTAAATAATCAGGCAATAACGAATCCAGGGCACCCACTAGCGCTAAATTTCGTTTAAGAATGGGCAAACGGGACAATCGGGGTCTATTATTCCAATTCACATACCGGTACTCTAGAATCGCATCCTCCAAAGCGCTCCTTATCCTATCATTGTATTGGGTACTTACAGATATAACTTCACCCTCCACTAATTCATCAACATCATTGGTATGTGATACTAACTGAGGTGTGCTATTAGCTACCAAATCCACAGTGTGTGACGAAGAAGGGATAATCAAGCTATTCCGTATGTCAGAGCGTATCCTCTCAAGTACTGCATCATCCAGCAGATGACAGCGCTGTATAGCTCGTACTTGATCCGACAATCGTTGTGCTGATACGTTGACAGCAGGTTCAAGCTCCTGAAACAAAGAGATTAGTCGAACACGGTACGCAGTAAGGTTTGTTCCCATCTCTGTGGCCCGATAATATGCCCGCATGACATTCTCATTGATAGAATTTGTCCACTTCATGCGGCGCACATTACCACCGGTAGCGGGGACCCTATTCGAGGTCAGTGGTCCTCGGGATCCTAAGCAGATCGGTGGCCGGCCTCTCCCCTGCCGACGTACAGGTGTTGGCGACGTCGGCGGAGAGAAAAACTCGTCACTTGAAGTCGAGCTCGACTATTATTATTATTATTATTATTATAAAACGTTATAAAGCGTTGATCATATAAAAAATCGAATTAATTAAACCGAAAGTACGTAAATGATAAAACGTCATGCATATCTAAGTATAAGATAATGATGGATTAAATAAAACTAAAGGTTTATTGGTTATTAAATACATCGATTTATTGACAGACACATATACAATGCTCGTATATAATGCTAGTATTCCTTTAAAAAAAGAAAATGATGGGATTCAATTGTCGTCTACAATAACATCGTTTAAAAAATAAGCTGGTAAACGGATCTCTTCCTCTTGGTTTCTCGCCCACCCTAAATACCACACTACACACATAATGTGGGCACAGCAACCAAGAGTGCGTTTACCGCTTAGATAACTGCAATAGTAGTTTTCTATGGCTTCTCTGCCGCTTTTCTCTCTATCTACTATAATGTACGAATAATATATTTTTGACCTAGTATGTCTAGATTGTATTCGACATCTTAGCAGCCAAACATTTGTTGCTGTGATGCCGTACCTGCCTAGGCCTGTAACATCGGGATCCCTATACGTTTCTATATTATAGAGACCTTGTCGCACATGCTCCGCATAATAGCTGCGGGCTAGCTTCACTTGGTATGTACCAAGTGCAAAAATGGTTAAATCCTCCTCAGTCAGCAAAGGAAAATCACTTATGTTAGGTTGGTTTCCTGTAATGCTATCGAAACTAGCCCGTCTACGATTAAGGTTGTTGGCTAGGACATACTCTGCTAGGTTATTTGGTTGGTTCATTCTTTGGTTTATAACCTCTATAAATGTTTCAGCGTGAACGCTATCTGACAATGGTTCTCTGCAAGCATTCAATAATGCAGCACCTATTCTAAAATCTGTCATCATATGAGGCAAAGCACGAATGAAAAAGTCTTGTCGGAATAGTTTAAAATCGCGTTTGAACCAACCATTTATAACTTCAACAACCCAGCGGCACATAGTAACCAACCTAGACTTATTCGCTTGTTCTGTCGTCAATTGATCTTCGTCTCGATTTTTTGTTTTCGGTAAGTGAGCTTCATAACCATAGGCATGTAAGTCGTCGATTACGTCGCGAAACCCACGGTCTAAGATGAACACATCTCCATGTTCAAAAAACCAATCGAAAGGATTTCCTTCGTCGTCAATCATATTTTTCATTATTTGTGCATCTGATTCTATGGCTGAATATGGCCCAAAGGCATCTAAAATGTGGCCATCGCAGCACACTATTAAAAACGGTTTCAACAAATTCGTGTATTTGTGTAGACTGTATGATCGCTTTTGGAATAAATAGTTTGCGGACTTTTGTATATATATATAAGTGGCGTCCACAATTGCCTTTCTGTTTAAGGCATTTGCATTTCCAAAAATTGCATTTGGAACTTGTAGGTTTCGGTTAGCTACATCAATTCTATTGAGATGATCATAACCAAGATGCCGGGTAACGAAGTCCAGTAAAAGAGAGGCGAACGTTAAATGTCGTTCTAGGGTTCTACGGCTCATATTAAAAAGCGTCGCCAGCCTTTCATTTGCTTCACCGCTTCGCAGTTTCATTAAGTAGCATGCCAAAGATGTTTTCGGGCGTGTTGATACGTTCGACAATGAAGGAGTTTGTTCCAAAATATTCATAAATTGGTCTCGACTAACGCCTAATCGGATGTATACTTCATTTGGGTCCATGTCATCTATATTATCAAAATCTAGTATAGATCCTCGAAGCACCGTGATTTTCATGAGGCTCATGATATGCACAAAATGTGTGGCATTGAAGTCGTGGAGCAAGTTAGGGCTGTCAATTATTTGATCCCAATCATTGGATACCAAATGACGATCGCAAACTCTTGCACTATTTGGAATATAAAAATTAAAATGAATCAAGAATGTCACTTTAATGTTATCCGGAATCCTTCGGAGATCCGTTCGTCTGCAGTTTTCATACATACAACGCGTTGCTGTATTAGGGAGTCTTGAATATTCTTCAATATGTAATACACATTCGTGTGGACGGTCTTCTCTTGGCTGCGCAGCTCTTTCTGCCCGTTGCCAGCATGGTCGACAAATGTAGGTACTCCTGGCCATTGTATTGTATCTGAATATGAGAGTATTACAATTCGTCAAAACGCTTAGTTATTTTCATTGAACGCTGTTCAAACAAAGCGAAATATAAAGAAAAATATTTTACTCGATTGCCTAAGCAGTATTATCTCGCTTACTCATACGTAAATACTGATACTTCTATCCCGTTCTCGCCCCGTGGATCAAACGGAACGACAACGTCGCCGCGTCGGTAACAGTTTACTTACTACTTACAGAGAAATGTAATCTCAATGCGCGAGAGTTAAAACACTGTGACGACCTCAAGTTAAACAGTACTATATTGTTGACGTGACAACTAAGAAATAATGATTTCGTTTGATGTACTTACCTGATGTTCAGAGGTCAGAGCTTCAAAGATATATTGGCCTACAGCGGGATGTTCTTCAAACCGAGCACGGGTTATTTCGTATCTTCTTCTGTTTATCACGGATCGATTACATAAAATACACACTTGGCGATTATCTGCCATTGTTATAGGAATCTGCTTAAAAAAAGTCCAAAAAAACGAGCACAAGTCACCAAGATAGATACTAACTAGTCCGATATGCAAGCCAGATTCGAAAGACATTGTCAAACAATAATAATCGCACAGTATTCAACGAAACAAATGTCAACGATGGACTGCGCTGCATGCATGACACTAGTTTCATTGATGGCCGCTCATGGGCTGCAATGCCCATTGTCCTTTGTTTTAACTAAAAGAAAAAAAAACTATATCGGCACGTCCCTGTCACCGCAGGTGTCTTTGCAAGATAAATGGTTCAGAAATGTAATTTATTCGGCTTACATAAAGCCCTAGCTTCGGTTTTTCATGAAGGTAAATAATTTAGATAAACCAAATGTTTAACACGTACGCACGAACTCGCTTGCACATTCAACGTTTTAAATATTTGGAAGAAATCATGGTTAAAGGCAAATCACAAGTATAAAAAATCTAATGACTGATCTGGATGTTCCGTGTATGACAATCGGCATGAGAACTTTAATTGCGTGATGCAGGAACAGATCATATTTAACGAAGTTTGTTTCATGTCTGATGTTTAACTTTGATCAGCAGTATGTGTCACCACTAAACTTTTTTTTATTTTTTATTACTAAGGCTGTTTATGGAATATTCAGATTTATTCGATTAAGAAGACAATAAAAAAGCAGGTCCATTAAAGTTTATACGCTGTCTATTAAGAGTGCTGAGAGTAGAAAAGTCACATCTTAAAAAAAAGTGTGAGAAAGAAAACTATATCCATATAAAAAATAATATATGGTTTATCAAGTTGCTTACAAAAAACATGCAAAGCAGTAAAAAATAATCTCAAGAACGAAATTTCACTTGTTATTGATCGTGTTTTGTCTCAATCAACAATTACAAGTTTAAAAAAAAAATATGTTAATAATGTCAAAAAAACATAAAAATGAATACATTTTTGAGTTTGTATAGGAATGTTCAATGTTATGCAATGGTTAAAGTCGTGGCCTTGCCACCATAAAATGACAAGTTTGGTAATTGCTAGTACGTTTACCACTCTTTAATATACTCTGTAACTGAATCTTTTCTTCCAGACCCAGAACGTGATTCAAACATGGATGAAAATGTACATCCTCTGGTGGGCATGGATAGTGGCAGCGAAGCAAGCCCCCTTCGTCCAAGAAACTTGTACGAAACATCTACATAATGTTTTTTTTTAATCAGAACCTAAGGCTTTATCTCTGTGAAAATAAGTTACGTCATAAGGCTCTGGAATCTTGGACTAAATTGTTTATCACCAGCTTTCTGTCAGGCTACTTCGTGATATTACTCCATTCGAACAGGGCGCCTTGCCAAAAATACACTACCATTATTTCAAACGTTATTTTATAGATTACCATCACTATCGTGTCTAACTATGCCTATGCTGTTTACGATCCTGCGATACCTGATATGCGGTACTACTTCTCGTACGAAAAGAAAGTGTTTCCTTTTAGGTACCCAAAAAAAAGAAAAATCGGTTGTCTGTAAAGTCGGTTTACTGACGATAGTTGAACGTGACAACGTCATAAGAAAATACTGATGGAATGGTTGCATTTTACGAAAACATGTAAATGTATTATTGTATAGCAGCTGTCCACGCGGACGCATCGCTCACTCAAGTAGGAGAGAGAGATGTCAAACGCTGCCGAAGGCGGAGGCCGATTGTGCCTCTTTGTCGCTCGTTGCGCGCTCTCGCTTGCACTTCAAGCCTTAAATGGAACGCCTCAGAGCGAGGTAACGCCGCATGAGTCATGTTTTTTCGTGCGTGCAGCCGGCTCCATCGAATTTTAAGACGTTGTCACGTCAAAAAGTTTTCAAATACACTATCCATTTCGATTAGGCATCCAATATTGAACACAGACAGCAGTATCGTCCCACACGCCTCTTTAAACTAACATTACAAATTTTCAGGCACCTCAATCGCAACCAACTTCCCATGCTGACGATTCATGACATAACTCCATCATCAGTATCGTCGACTGTAAACAGCACACCTATTTTGGAGCCAGACGGCAATAACCCCAGGCCCTGGCGACGTGGAGATCGTCGTCAACAGAGACTGAACACGGAACTCCTGGAAGCTATTGAAGAACATGATATGGCAGAGGTGGAAAAGTGAGCGTATATTTATATTAATATAGGTTTTTATTGTTAAAATGGACAATTTAGGTCAAACAAAAAGTCCTCTATCTAAAATAACTCTGGTTAAGTGACGAAATTCAGATGGAAGAGGTAAACTCTTACATATATACCCCAAGCCTATATCCCCATTTTACCGAAAATATTTTTAGTCCCATTTACTTATCTCCTATCAAACCTATTGCCATTAACCCAGCATAGGGGAAAAGTAGGTTAGAAGAGAAATAATTATAAAGAAGGGAATATTGATGTTGGTATGGTGAGGGATTAAAAATACAGAGTATCACCGTCTAAGCTGGTGGACACTGCCTCCGCCCTAGGGCGACTTTTGCCCAACTTGGGCGGGGCCAGTGTTCCCACGAGGCGGCTGTACGCGGGGGTTGTCCGGTCCATGGCGCTGTATGCTGACCGCTCAGAATCGGGCACGCCTCTGGCGACCTCAGAGGATATTGGCGGTTAGAGCCATACGCGATTACCGCACCGTTTCGGCGGAAGCGGCGTGCGCGTTGACCGGTACTCCCCCGTGGGACTTGGAGGCGGAAGTATATCGGCGGACGGCTGGTTTCCGGGCGGATAGTGGCAGTCGGCCCCCGCCCAAAGAGATAAGCGAGTGGCGTGAGGCCGCTCGCCGAGCCACGATGGCTCGTTGGTCGTCCCGGCTGGAGGTTCCATGTGCTGACTTTGCCGCCGTGGAGGCGCTCCAGCCGGTCATCGTCGAGTGGGCAGGGCGGCAGCACGGGACCCTTTCCTTCCGGCTAACGCAGGTCTTTTCCGGGCATGGCTGCTTCGGGAAGTACCTGCACTCGGTCGCTAGGAAGGAATTGAGTCCCGCCTGTCACCACTGCGATTCCAGTGAGAACTCGGCTCAGCACACGCTGGCAATTTGCCCGGCTTGGGCGCCGCAGCGCCGGGTCCTCATTGCAGTCATCGGGGGGGATCTCTCGCTACCGGCCGTCATACGCTCCGGCGAACCAGGCGGCGGAGGCGCGCTTATCACCGCCTCATGCCGCCCTGAGTGTGGCCGCGGGTGGACGGGACGGGTTTTCCCCTCCACCTGCCATAACGGCCAGCCGCGAAGAGGCGACGTCCGCGTGTGCCGGACGTCGCCTCCTCGGCAGTTCCCGGATCCCTCCTATTACAGGCGCAGAGTGGCACACCGTGTGGTTTTAGTCGGTCCGATTCAGACACACCACCCCGCCGTAAACCCCGGTGGGTGACGGCCCGAGGGGGTTTCGACCGGTCCGATCGAGGTTTTGACCTACCAAAACTTCCTTTCTAAGGAGAGGCCTATGTCTAGCAGTGAACTGGTAAAGGCTGTTTATAATAATGACATTGATTGGATTTGATGGAAGGATAAGGGAAAATGTAGCACTCTCAAAGTTTGAGCTCGTCGGGGTTGCATACCTGTAGCTCGAACTGATGCCGATCCGAAGTCCGAGTCCGAAGTCTGGCCCAAAGTCCGAGTTCGAATAAACCCTCACTCACACAATGAAAAGCAACAAAAAAATTGTTTACTACCAATTTTTTTTCTATCGTTTCTCTATCATATTGGTTTTTGAGGGGACTGTTGGTCTAGTGGTTAGTGACCCTGACTGCTAAGCCGGAGGTCGTGAGTTCGCCTACCCAGGACAAATTGTGTGAAGAGCGCGGTCATTTGTTCAGTGTCTGGGTGCAATTTATCTATAATATGTATGTATTAAAAAAATATAAGTATGTTTACCAGCAATCTGGTTAATATAGCACACGGTCTGCCTAGTTTGGGATCAGACGACTGTATGTGAGATGTGTGAGGTATATTATTATTATTATAATCATGTAAGAACTAATGTCCATCTCATTCTTACATGCTATTCAATACTTCACAGACTTCTGAATGCCGGTGCTAATCCTAATGCAACATGCCGTGTGGGTCTGGTATCAGCCTGTCACATGGCAGCCCTTATTGGGGGAGAAGCTCTCTCCCTTCTCGTCAAGTTTGGAGCTGAAAAACTCAGAAGTGATCGGCTCGGAAGAACTCCTCTACACTTAGCTGCGTATGCTGGAAATATCAGACAAATGGCAATACTGTTAGATTTCCCTGAAGGTAAGTCAATATACCGATCCTTTTAGATAATATATTAGCAGCTCGTTCCACCTTCACCCGAGATGTATAGTTATTATCTGTCTTAAGTATATATTAGGTAGGTATTATTAATTTATGCCCCTGCAGTGCCACCATCTTACAAATTTTAACCGTCACTATACTTGTCACGCGAGAGTTTCAATCTTGCTATATTCAGATATTATGTGTAAAGGAAAATATGATCCATATAATATACTTAGGACTGTAAATATAGGGGATCATATGCTAAAGGTCAAACAAGCATAAAGTTATGACTTTGAAACCCACAAGAAGTCAAACACGTATAAAGTCAAAAATCAATTATGAAAATAGTCAAACTGCGACGCACAGTTTAAAATCAGAGACACCATTGTGAATCAAAGTATCATTAAATTGGATTATTTTACTTAAATAAAAGGTATTAATTACCACAATCATATTTTTTATTTAATAACTATCGGGCTAGATAGTTATTAATATAATAATAAATCAAACAGTACAATAAATCAACAGACTGTTCGTATAATAATATCAATTCACATTATTTATTTTCGAAAAACCGTACAAAAAAAAAAGCGTATAATACAGTTGCGCCGAATTTTCAAAAACGGTAGCAAGTTAAAAGGTGAAGTCGACGCCGCGCTGTCCATATGGGACATCCGGGTCGAAATGCGGAGCCGAAAACTGTGCTTGCCAGCGTACTGCACAGTCTAACAGGCCGAGCTCTTGGTCATACACCGAGCTTCAAACGAAATCCTCAACTGCAGTGCGGGGAGCTGTGGCATCTACAGCGACGAAACCTCATCGAGGCCTTGACTCAGGGCAAAGATGTAACTTTTAAAGAGGCAACAGCAATGAGCGCGCCGATCAGCTGGCCAAGGAGGCGGCACTCTCGAGTCGAAGGAAGCCCGACTACGATTTGTGCCCGTTTTCATTCGTCAAGCGACAGATACGCCGCGGCTCCCTCGATGGTTCCAGTCTCGGGACCAGTCGGGCAACACGGCCTCCGCCACGAGAGTGTTCTTCCCCGACACTATGGATGCTTACCGCTTGGTGCAGAAGATCCGACCCTAAGGCGTTGTTTCGTAGATGACGGGACATGGGGGGGTTCTCCCAATACTTGCATCGCTTCAAGTGGCGGGCAAGCCCGTCATGTATCTGCGACCCAGGTCAGGAGGAGTCCGTCCTGCATATTTTATTTGACTGCGTATTGGGCCTAAACGACATGAAGCTGAGCAACGCATGCAGCTGGTGAAAGAAGAGGCACACCTTTTAATTTGAAACAAAAATACTAAAGATATTTTTTTTGAAATTCGACCAAGAAATATTTGAATTAGTAATCATGAGAAACAAGAACGACAGATACCTATGTAAAAAAAAACACGCTAAACAAAGAGAAGAGTAAAATAAAGACTCTTGTCATGCAAGAGGTTGACAGTTTTATAGAATTAAAAAATATATGAGTATATACGTTATGACATATGATCCAATATAGATACATATTTCATTAAATTTACATTAACGTCATTAACGTTAAAAATTACTTTGCAATTATTCTATTCAAAGTTGCAAGGTAGATTATAAATGTGTTTTTCATGCTCACACGGTTATTTGCACGATACCTAGGCTTAAAAACCACTTTAAATATGTTTTATCTGTCTTTCTGTCTGTCTATTTGTTTGTTCTGGGTAATACTCGAAACGGCTGGACCGATTTGGAAAATATTTTACTAGCAGGTAGCTGTTTATATAAGGAGTAACTTAGGCTATTTTTTCTCTCAGAAAACCCCTATAAAATTTTGTTCAGTCCGGTAATCGAACAAGTCGTGGGCACAAAAGCTAGTATTATATATATTGGTTATTTTGCTTTGTTTAAAAGATTTAAATTTTATTTATTCAGATATTGTACAACTGGTAATAAAATGAAAATAGCTTCATAATTCCGTGGTTTTCCGGAAAAGGTTATTGAAATTGTGTCAGTTACGCCTACACTAAATTGTTTCGGCTTCAAATTATCAAACGGCAAACAAAAAAATATGTTTATTGCTAAATATGAGTTAAAAAGATTTAGGTAAAAATAAAATTTGGCTGTGATAAAGAATGTCCATTAAAACTACACATGTTTATTATTTAGCTTGACGTCTCATGACCACGATGAGATGGAACTCATCATCAGGAGCAACAACTGCCTCGGTCTTCTTAGACACCAGCCTCAACACAACGAGTTCGTCAGTCACGTCCTGGAAATAAAGTCTAAATTTGCACGGTTGTCTTTTTACGTTTATAATAATGCTATGTTTAGAAGACACATACGATTTCTTTGAGAGCGTTAGACGCATGATAAGATAAATTTCTCATGTGAGTCGAATAAGTGGCTGCCGTCAAGCTGTCCAGGGTTGTGGTTTCTGGAAATCCTGAAAAACACCGGGGTTTACGGCGGGGTGGTGTGTCGGAATCGGACCGACTAAAACCACACGGTGTGCCACTCTGCGCCTGTAATAGGAGGGATCCGGGAACTGCTGTTATTAGGACCTCCGGACCCCTCCTAGCGCCAGCCCGCAACGATGCGGGCACCACCTTCAGGTACATTCTCTATTTAGGCGACATCCGGCACACGCGGACTGGCCGTTATGGCAGGTGGAGGGGAAAACCCGTCCCGACCACCCGCGGCCACACTCAGGGCGGCATGAGGCGGTGATAAGCGCGCCTCCGCCGCCCGGTTCGCCGGGGACGGATTGGGTCCGAGTGGAGGCTGTCCTCCCGGGCCCCCTCCGCCGCCTCCTTCTGCGAGATGACGTCTTCGCAGAAGGATGCGACCGCGGTAAAACATCTGTCGCTACCGGCCATGGAGCATATGACGGCCGATAGCGAGAGATCCTCCCCGATGACTGCAATGAGGACCCGGCGCTGCGGCGCCCAAACCGGGCAAATTGCCAGCGTATGCTGAGCCGAGTCCTCACTGCAATCGCAGTGGTGACAGGCGGGACTCAATTCCCTCCTAGCGACCGAGTGCAGATACTTCCCGAAACAGCCATGCCCGGAAAGGACCTGCGTCAGCCGGAAGGAAAGGGTCCCGTGCTGCTGCCCTGCCCACTCGACGATGACCGGCTGGAGCGCCTCCACGGCGGCAAAGCCAGCACGTGGAGCCTCCAGCCGGGACGACCAACGAGCCATCGTGGCTCGGCGAGCCGCCTCACGCCACTCGCTTATCTCTTCGGGCGGGGGCCGACTGCCACTTTCCGCCCGGAAACCAGCCGTCCGCCGATATACTTCGGCGAGCACTTCCGCCTCCAAGTCCCACGGGGGAGTACCGGCCAATGCGCACGCCGCTTCCGCCGAAACGATGCGGTAACCGCGTATGGCTCTAACCACCAATATCCTCTGAGGTCGCCAGAGGCGTGCCCTGTTCTGAGCGGTCAGAGCCGCCGCCCACACCGGTGCACCATACAGTGCCATTGACCGGACAACCCCCGTGTACAGCCGTCTCGTTGCGACGCTGGGTCTACCCAGATTGGGTAGAAGTCGCCCAAGTGCAGACGCAGCGTCGACCAGCTTTGGAGCAAGCTGTCGGAAGTGCTCGTCGAAGAGCCACCAACCGGTACGAGGACCGAGTTGACCACGATTGAGGCGCCGGGGGGTGGACCACGACGGGGCCCATGGAATAAGAGAGCCTCCGTCTTATCCAGGGCCACCCGTAAGCCCAGCGCCTCAATTCGCCCGACCATCAGAGAGACTCCCCTGGTGGCCAAGCGCGCCGCCTCTTGAAAGTTCGCCCCCCGGGCTGTGACCAATGTATCATCGGTGTAACAAATTACACCCAGCCCAGGGGGAAACTCCACTCGAAGGGCCCAGTCGTACCCGATGTTCCACAGGAGGGGTCCAAGAACAGACCCCTGTGGAACACCGCACGACATGGGCCGACACCTCAAATTACCAGCTCGGTCCTCATACTCGACGGTACGCTCCTCTAAATAGTCTGCCACTAGCCGCCTCAGGTACTTGGGCACCCCATGAAAGTGTAGTGCTTCCCTGATGCAGCTAAATGGCAGACTATTGAATGCGTTGGCTATGTCCAATGACACCGCCAACAGCACGCCGCCACAGCTCACCGCCTCTTCGGTCACGGCCCTCAGGCGTAGCACAGCGCACACCGTCGAACGCCCCACTCGAAAACCGAATTGGGCGTCCGACAGGTCCGGGCCCACCTCGTACAGGTGGCGGACGATGCGGGCAGAGAGCACCCTCTCAAACAATTTACCCGCCTCGTCCAGCAACACAATGGGCCTATAGGCCGCGACCGAATCTTCAGGCCGTCCCGGCTTCCTCAATAGGACCAGCTTCCCGCTCTTCCAGCACTCAGGAAAACGTCCGGACACCAAGCTCGCGTCGAACACCTCCCTGAGGCGGTCTGCCATGTGGTGAAGGGTTAGGGCCAGTACTCGGGCCGGTATCCCGTCTGGCCCAGGGGCAGTGTTCTTGGAACGGATCCGTAGAACAGCCGCCCCTACCTCCGAATCCCGGACGGGCGGAACATCATCCACGTTCTCTCCGTCGTCGACGGCCAAGGTAACCATCGACGGGGGTGTGTGTTCCGCCCGTTGCGGGAATAGCGGGAAAACAAACCCTTTTTTTTTTTTTTTTTTTTTTAACGTGTGGAAATCCCCTCGGACCGTCACCCCTCCGGGGATTGCGGCGGGGTGGTGTGTCGGACTCGGACCGACTAAAACCACACGGTGTGCCACTCTGCGCCTGTAACAGGAGGGATCCGGGAACAGCTGTTGTTAAGACATCCGGACCCCTCCTAGCGCCAGCCCGCTCCTGGTGCGGGCTCCGTCTCGATGTTGTTCCTCTCTTTAGGCGACGTCCGGCACACGCGGACGCCGCCCCCTCGCGGCTGGCCAAACTAATGCGGGTGGAGGGGAAACCCACCCCGTCCACCCGCGGCCACACTCAGGGCGGCATGAGGCTCTGGTAGGCGGGCCTCCGCCGCCCGGTTCGCGGGCGGCGGG